AGAGACGGGATTTCACCATGTTGACCAGGATGGTCTTGATCTCTTGACCTCGTGATCCACCCGCCTCGGCCTCCCAAAGTGCTGGGATTACAGGCTTGAGCCACCGCGCCCGGCCCGCCAATGCTGATTTTTAAAACAGGTAGCTGGCAGGATTTGGATTTGGTGGCAGAATATAGTTAGCTGATCCCTGGCGTAAAGAAACAAGTAAAATGAGGCCAGGTTCAATGGCTCAAATCTGTAATCTTGGCACAGCACTTTGGGAGGCCAAGACAGGAGGATCGTTTAAGCCCAGGAGTTTGAGGCCAATCTAGGTAATATAGCAAGACCTTATCTCTATTTTTAAATAGTTTAAAACAAAAAAAGAGACAGAAACAAGTAAAATAAGACCACAAAAAAAGCAAACGGACAAATTCAGATGGTGGGATGATCAACAGAACTAGACTTAAGTTTCTTCACTGAATTGATTTCACCAAGAAAAAAACAAACTGGAGTGGAAGGGGGAACAGTTTTTTTTTTTTTGAGATGGAGTCTCGCTCTGTCGCCCAGGCTGGAGTGCAGTGACGCAATCTCGGTTTACTGCAACCTCTGCCTCCCAGGTCCCGGTTCACGCAATTCTCCTGCCTCAGCCTCCCAAGTAGCTGGGATTACAGGCATGCACCACCACACCCAGCTAATTTTGTATTTTTAGTAGAGACGGGGTTTCTCCATGTTGGTCAGGCTGGTCTCGAACTCCTGACCTCAGGTGATCCATCCGCCTCAGGAGCCACCGCGCCTAGCTTAATTTAGAAATTTAATCAAGTTAATCAGTTTAACCAAGTAGCATTCCGTTTTCTGTTTCTGCTTTTCTCAGCCCTTTGTCTCTGAAAACAACCTCCTCCTCTGCTCAGCTTATTGGAACACTCATGCCATTTTCCAGTATTAGATGTCTCATTCTAGATTTGCAAATAAATGCCAACTAAGATCTCATCACTACATGTGTTGTAACTTTGTCTTTTGACAATCATGAAGTGTCATGATGCCTAGGATTTGTTTTAATCTCTTTAAGTTAAAAAATAAAAATACACCTGGTGCGGTGGCTCACATCTGTAATCCCAGCACTTTGGGAGGCTGAGGCGGGTGGATCAGGAGGTCAGGAGATCAAGACCATCCTGGCTAACATGGTGAAACCCTGTCTCTACTAAAAAATACAAAAATTAGGCCGGGCGCGGTGGCTCAAGCCTGTAATCCCAGCACTTTGGGAGGCCGAGGCGGGTGGATCACGAGGTCAAGAGATCGAGACCATCCTGGTCAAC